AAAAAAGTGCAAGAAGTAGATAGCGATTCCTCCTGTGGATTGTCCCTTCTACTTTTAATGAGTTTTATGATTATTACATTTTCTTTATTTCCTCAATTTTTTATTGTGATTTTAGTGAAAGTTTATAGAGGTTGGATTTTCATTCATTGATTATTGCACATTTTCCTCCCCACAATCCCCCAGTATACTTTAAAAAATATTCATTCATTGTTGCCTAATTTCCACCCTCTTCCCATACAGTCCACTTTGCTGTGCACTTTCGTTTTAGACTATTGTCATACAAATAATACCTAATCATATATTCCTTTTAAACAATTCTTTCCTTCGTCTTTCCAATGATGTGGATCAACACTATCTAAATCAGGTGGTGGGTCTACAACTCTTTGTTAAATATTAATCATTTGCAAGATCATATGACAAGCATAGATATAGAAAGCAAGGAGAAAAAAAAGAAAGCAAGGAGGAAATAGGTATCTTTATCTGTCTATCTATCTATGGATCTAGAGATTATATATATATATACGTATACATACATAGGCATATAGAGAGCAATCTATCACCAGTGGGCCAATTGGCAGCACCATGATAGATGAAGAAGAGATTGGAGGGGTTAGCAATTACAGCTTGCTTGGCTCCACAATCAACATGCTTAGCACCAGCAGTCAGGAAATCAAAAGACAAATTGCACTGGGAAAATCTCTTGTCAGGGATCTCTCCAGAGTAAAAAGCAACAGTGTCAGTCTAGAGACCAAGGTGCTTCTGACCCAGGCCATGGTCTTCTCCATTTCTTGCTATGCATCAGAGAGCTGGACAAAGACTAAAGATGACAGAAGAAGAATCAATGTTTTTGAATTGTGGTGCTGGAAAAAGAGTCTTAAACATACCATGGACCACCAAGAAAACAAGTCTGTCTTGGAGAGAGTGAAACCAAGTTTCGCCTTACAGACTAGGGTTCTGAAGCTCCGTCCCATATACATTGGGCACGAAGCAAGGAGAAATCAGCTTGGAAGGATGGAGGACTAGAGCTGGAGAGGATGATTCTAGATGAGATTAATTGATACACTAAATGGGAAAATGGGTCTAGGTGTGGCCGAATCAGTAAGACTGGCTCAGGACAGGGTAGGCTTCAGAGCTGCTGTACATAGTGTCGCTGTGGGTCACAGGTGACTTGACAGCACATAACAACAACAACGTATACAGATATGCATTTATAAATATATATATTCATATATACATATCCATATATCTCAATCATCTATCTACCTATCTTATTGTTGTTGCTGTTGTTATATATTGTTGAGTCACAACCGACCCATAGTGGACACTCTGGAGGGTTTTCAGAGGCAGTTAAATGCACGAGAAGAGACTTCCCATCCTTCTTCCAGGCAGCAGCTGGTAGGATTTGTCTTCAGAATTGCAGTGTGGCTTCTTGCCATTAGGCCACCAGAGCTCCTGTGTGTGTGTTCCTAATATTTCTAATATAATTCTCTTACCTCACAACCTAGTCACTCACTCACTCGCTGCTATTGAGTCAAATCCAACTAATAGCAATATTTCCTTCAGATGTTTGCTCCGGCTGTAAATCACCATAGGAGGAGACTGCAAATTCTTCTCGCAAGGAATAACTGGAGCATGGAAATTGTCAGTGATGTGCAGTCTTTGGTTTAGCAGCACCAGTTGCTATAAGCTTCACCACCAAAACTCCCCTGTTAATCTAGAGATGACATCAGAAACTTCACTGATCCCCAAGACACTTTTAATCTCTTCTCTTCTGAAATAATTTCTAAACATAACTTTATTTAAATGTAAATAATTGATGTACACGAGTCTCTTCAGACCTTTGTTATTCTTGGAATGACCTAGTCATCACTCCATCATTCACAGATATCAGAGCAGAATTGGGGCTCTGAAGGCTTAGTGGTAAGGAGCCACATAGCAAACCCAATTGCATGCAGTTAGAATCCACCAACTTCTCTGTGACCTGTCTTCTCCATGATATTTACTACCTCTGAAAACATCATAAAAGGTTAACTAAGAGCCTGTTTCAATTCATTGGTATATAAGAGGAATAAAGCATTTTAAAATTCCCTCTCTTGCCACTAGCATCAACTCCCTTACCTATCCTTTGCTTTAAAAAATTTACCTGGGTCCTTCTCAATATTTGGAAAACTACTATTTAACTTCACTGCCTAAAATCCAGACAACATGGTTGGTCTACATGTTAGAAATGTACCTAAGTTCCACTTGGACTCACTTAAGATGATGAATAAACCCTTAAAGGTCAATTACCATTTTTTATCACTCCTCCTGTGCCACCCTTAAGGTTGTTTTCCAAATCTTCAAAACTGCTGTTTCATAGCTTCTCATCTTAATTCAAATTATCAAGAACTGATCTCACTAAAAAGTCTTATCTGAATCTTCCTCATCTTCCCTGAAAAACATACAAGTAATTGGATGGAAGTTCTCTTCTGTCTCTTTCAGCACATTTAGGAGCCCATGATTCTGCACCTACACTCTGTCCTTTCCTTTCCTTCCTGAGGTGATGAAACATGTCCCTGATACTTATTTAGATGATGTTCACAATTTGCCCTCTAGATTTAAGACTTTCTGCTTTTGTAATAGATGCTGAGTCTAAAGTTGGTGGTATTGATTTCTTTCTCCATCTCTCAATCTATTATTTTCTTTCTTCTTGATTCACCAGTGGAAATTGTCAGTTTCTTCACTGGTTCTTCAGGGGCTGCTGATCAATTTATACTTCCAGAAAAAAATAAAAACACCTTGTAGGTTTCATTTATTTAAGTGTTGCCATTAGTATGAACTTTATTGTTTCTTTATGTTCATGATTTACTCTTCCTTTACTGTTTAATGTCATGCTGGAGAATCCTAAAATTGTCAGATCTGGTGACCAAGTGATGATCTCTATTTTGTTTAATATTGTTCTTCCCATTGTCTGTGTCTGCAGGGAAGAAACCCAAGAGTTGTCCCACTGCTGCCCCCTGCACAGGTACCTCTGTCTTTCATTTCCTTTAATAGATTTAAGAGATTCTCCTCCCCAAAAACCAGTAACAGAAAATTTTCCTGCTTTCCAGATAAAGAAAAACTCAGACTGGTGGAAGGAGACAGCCTGTGTTCAGGGCGAGTGGAGATTTGGCACAACGGTTCCTGGGGCACAGTGTGTGATGACTCCTGGAGCCTGGCAGAGGCTGAGGTGGTTTGTCAGCAGCTGGGCTGTGGCTTTGCCCTGGAGGCTCTACAGGAGGCTGCATTTGGCCCAGGAAAGGGGAGGATCTGGCTGGATGAAGTGCAGTGCAGAGGCAGAGAGTCCACCCTGTGGGACTGTGCTGCACAGCCCTGGGGCCAGAGCGACTGCAAGCACGATGAGGACGCTGCAGTGAGGTGCTCTGGTGAGTGGAGGAGCAGTAATGGAAGAGAGCTGAAAGAGCACCTTGCTGCCTTGTGTTCTGGCTTTGGAGACAAGGTGGTCTGGTCTGCTGGGAATGAGGTGAAGGAAGTGGCCCTCCTGATGTCATCCTCTGGCTTGTTTAGTGTTCTCATTTTCTCTCTTCTCCTTAGGTGAGAGGATATCTACTCCCACGGTTAAAAGTAAGTCATTCTTATTCTGTGCAGATACTAGAAAAGATAAATCATATGTTCAGGAACACGTACTATGAAATCTTCCTATTTCTAGCAAAATCAAACATCAGCACCGAAAAAAAACTATTTTTTAATGTCTACACTCTTCTTAAACTATAACAAGCATAAAGATTCTAAGGTGAGCCAGCATTCCCTTCCCAGCTATCACTAAGTACTAAATTCTGAAGAGAGTTGACATAATCCAGGGCAGCTCCTGGGTCAGGTCCATCTTGAGGTTCTAGAAGATTTATCTGGTTGTGTCATGGTTCTGAGAACTCACTAGATAGCCAGGATAAAATGTTCCATTGGTTTATTCTCTTCTCTAAAGTCATATAAGCTTTCTGTTTGTTTGTTTTCTCAGGTGCCAGGTCACTCTCAGCCCCTGCCTCTGACACTTTCTCTTTGCCTGAGATCCTGTGTGTTGCCCTAGGAGCCATCCTCTTCCTGGTCCTTATCATCTTGGGAACTCAACTGTACAAATGGCGATCAGAGGGTCAAGGTGAGCCTTGTGTATAGGAAAGGATCTGTGAAGTATATGAGAAGAGTATTGAGCAAGTGATGATATCAAGAAAAAACAGACATGTCACCATCATTATCTGCTGTATTTCCACCTTTAATGTGATGGAAACCAAGCTTTCCACAATTGTTTCCTCGGTCCTATAATTAGCGTGGATTCGTTCAAACAAGCTTAAACATTTTCCTCTGTGAAAAATTTCAGTAGACATTTATTCTGTGATAAAGATAAAAATCAAGACACTTACTTCTGGCACAAGAGAGTACAAGTGTAAAGAAAACTTCCCTGACAGGCCATGGGTTTCTCCAAGGATGAACACTATGACCAATTAAAGGCTTTGTCTATGGGACAGCAATATCTTCAGAGGTGTCTCTGAACTCATGCTCTCATACTGCTTTTCAGTTCTATCTGGTTTTGAAGATGTTCTCGATGAGGCTTTGTATGAAGATATTGATTACCTTGTAAAACCTAAGAAAGAAGACTTTTTGGAGCACTCAGGTGTGTATGCTATGCCATCTTCTTTGGCTATGATCCAGTTTGGGGTGTCCTGAGCAAGCACAGACCTCAACCTAATGTAGCCTGTTAGCAGAGAATCTTTCTATGCCAGAAGCTCCAAGACCATTTTCTATTAGTGTAAAGATTCAAGATTTTTTTGAACAATGACACTAGTCCTTCTACCATGGTAAAAATCTTATACTTTGTGATGTTTTTCTCCACATCAGAAAACCTGTCAGTGACTAAGCTGCCTTATTATTACACAGAGGACAAGGAAGAAGATGGAGATCCTGAATTTCCTCCAGGTAATAGAGATAGATATTAACGTGGGAAGTAACATTGGGCTTGATACATCAGAGATCATGAGGAAGGTGCGGGAAAGGGACACGGTCCCCATCTGAACTTTGCTGCCGGGAATGATAGGTCGCTAAGGCCAGTAATGTCTGACTCTCCCTGATCTCAGACTAGTAAGCCTGGAAATGTTTATGTTTTCTGTATTTTATTCCACATTTTTCTCCAACTCTTTCAAAGACATTCTGTGATCCATTTTAGACTATCCATCAGTAATAGACTGCAGCGTTTAGTTCTTCTTGCCTCGAAATTCCTTGGACTAAATATTTCTGACTGCTCACAATTTTTAAGACCTAAATCATAGTTAATGAATCCCATTTGATCGTGATAAATTATTTTTCTTTGTTTTTTCATTCTCTGGATATTACTTTATTGGGTTGAAATATTTTGTTTACAGATCTTTTTATTATCTTCTTCACTATGTTTTAGCATTAACTCTTTATGTTTTTAATTTTTTTTATTTTTATTATTTTTGTGTGAGTGTACCGTCAAATCAGATCTGACTGGTACAGGAGGAGATTGACCCTCCTTCCCCGGCAGAGCATCTGGTGGATTCAAACCATGCACCTCTGTGATTGTAGTTGCAGCTCCTTACCACTAGGCCACCAGAGCTCCCCTAATGTCTTTAATTTTTTATGACAATGTATAATAGTTATCTTTGAGGTTACCTTTTAAAACTTTTTATTTTCATATTTTAAATAATACACTCAATCTTGGTATTTTCTTCACTTGTTTTCTATTTGGAAATTTTATACCTACCGTTTATTTTGCTCTTTTTGATTTGTTGTTGTTCTTATTTACTTAATTGAATCATTTTTCCCCCCTACTTAAATTTTTATTTTATTTTACTTTGTGTACTTCTCTGAGGATTGGTTACTGTATAATGCTGTCATGTGCATTAATCTCAGGTTACTATCTGTTGTTATTTGCTCTCTGTCTTAAGAACTCCTTAAGTGTTTATTTCAGTTCTACTTGGAGTGTATTTTCTTTCAAAATTTTATAAATGTCATCTCAGTGTTTTCTTTGCTGCACTGATTTTACTGAGAAGTTGGAACTTAGTCACACTGGTTTTCCTTATAGAAAATTTTTCCATTTTTCCAACCTGGCTTCAATATTCTCAGCCTTTGCTTTATAACATTTGAGTATGATATGACTTTGTGCATATACTTGGAGTCTATGCTGTTTGGGGTCTCCTGAGCCCTTCCAATGCAGGTCTCATCATCTTTTATAATATTGAAGAAGTTTTCTCTCAGAAAAATCTTCACATTTTTTCGCTGCTGCTGTTGTTGTTGTTATGTGCAGCCGAGTCACCTGCAACTCACAGCAACCCCATGTACAACAGCCCTTAACCCTTCTCTATTCCGTGCCAATCACACTGTCTCCGACACACCTATCCACATTACCCCAGTGACGAAATCTCATCGAGGGTCTTCCTCTCCTGTGCTGTCCCTCCACTCTCCCAAACATGATGGCCCTCTCCAAGGACTGGTGCCTCCTTGCTACATGTCCAAAGTATGTCAGACAAAGATTCAGAATCCTTGCCTCAAAGGAGCAGACTGGCTTCATGCTTTCCAGAACCAACTTGTTTGTTCTCCTAGCAGTCCATGGTATATTCAATACTCTTCTCCAGCACCAAACCTCAAAGGTATCAATTCTCCTTCTATCATCCCTAGGCATTGTCCAGTTCTCTGATGCATAGCAAATAATGGCAAAGACCGTGGCCTCTATCAGGCACACCTTAGTCTCCAGACTGAAATCGTTGCTCTTCACTACCTTAGAGAGATCTCTGACAGCAGACTTTCCCAATGCAATTCACCTTTTCATTTCCTGGCTTCTGGTACCAAGTGTGTTGGTTGTAGAGCTAAGCAAACCAAAGCTGTGAACAATCTCAATCTCTTCACCATCTATCCTGATACTGCCAATCGGCCCAGTAGTGAGAATCTTTGTTTTCCTGATGTTAATCTTCAATCAATTTTGAAGGCTAAATTCTTTAACCACCAGTTATGTAATCGCTTTCATATAGTATTCCTTTTTATGGTGCCTCACATAATAATTGTACTTGTTGGTGTTTTTGTTATGTGCCATTGAGTCACATGTGACTCATAGAGACCCTATGTACAACGGCGTAAACTCTGTTCTGTCCTGTGCCAATCTCATTGTCTCTGACACACTCATCCTGATTATCCCAGTCACTGAATCAATCCATCTCCTAGAGGGCCTTCCCCTCCTGCGCCTGCCCTCCACCCTCGCAAGCATGATGTCCTTCTCCAAGGACCAGATGTCAGACGAAGCCTCAGAATCCTTGCCTCCAAGGAGCTGCCCAGTTTAACACTCTCCAAAACGAATCTCTTTGTTTTGTTAGCAGTCCATGTTACCCGCAATGCTGTTTTCCAACACCAAAGCTCAAAGGCATCAATTCTTCTTCTATCAACCCTAGTCATTGTCCAACTCTCTGACACGTAACATGTGATTGCAATGACCATGGCCTGTATCAGACACACCTTAGTCTCCAGAGAGACACCATTGCTCTTCAGTACTTTAGAGAGGTCCCTAACAGCAGACTTTTCCATCACAATACATCTTTTCATTTCCTGGCTGCTGGTGCCAAGAGTGTTGATTGTGGAGCCAAGCAGACTAAAGCTGTGAACAATCTCAGTCTCTTCACCATCCATCCTGATGCTGCCAGTTGGTCCAGTGGTGAGAATCTTTGTCTTCTTGTCATTGAGCCACAATCCATATTGAAGGCTGCAGTCATTGACCCTCTACAGCAAGCGCTTCAGGTCCTCCTCAGTTTCAACAAGCAGGGTTGTGTCATGTGCATAACGCAGATTGTTGATAGATCTTCCACCAATCCTGATGTCGCATTTCTCCTCATGGAGCCCAGCCTCCCGGATGATCAGTTCCGCATACAGGTTGAAAAGGTATGGAGACAGGCAGGACACATCCTTGGCATACACCCTTCCCAATTTTGAACCATGCAGTGTTTCCTTGCTCTGTTCTGACAACTGCCTCTTGGTTCAAGTATAGGTTTCGCATTAGCACGATCGATTGTTCTGGGATTCCCATTCTTCTCAGAGTCAGCCACAGTTTGTTATGGACCACACAGACAAAAGCCTTTGCATAATAAATGAAGCACAAATAGATATTCCTCTGGTACTCCCTGCTTTTAGCCAAGATCCATCTAACATTCACTACAATATCCCTAATACCTAGTACAAATCCCTAGCACCTAGTAATTGTACTAAGAACAATAAAACCAGCCTACTTGATTTCCTGTTCATTCATTCATACATATTTTGTTTTATGACTACAAATAAAATATACACAATGTAGCATGACTCTTCTATTTATGTAACTTGTCTTCCCTTTGTACAAATGCTGTTCTGATGATATCTTATGCTTAATTATTCTAGGAAGTGAATGCTATATGCAATTGATAACCTTATAGATCTATTTTTAATTTGGGTAAAATTCTAGCTACAGGATAAACTCAAGGGCTTTTGTGTGCTTTTCTGAGTGTCCTTTTAGCATATTGCTGTTGTTCAAGGCCTTTAAGCTGAATACAGCTCAAGTGTCCCTATAAACAACAGATCTGAACTCTGTCTTATTTGGTGCCATACTCATAATCTCTGTCACATGTGGTCTCATTGCTACAGTCACAGTGTTAATTCATCTTGTTGAGGTCATCCTCTCATTCACTGACCCTCCAACTTTCCATGCATGATGTTCCTTTCCAAAAAATGGTCACTTCTAATACCATGCCTAAAGGATGTAGGACAAAATTTTACCATCTTGAATGAAGGAGCACACAGGTTGCACTTCTCTAGGACATATTTGTTTGTTCTTTTGGCATACCGTGAGATATTCATAATTTTTATCCAACCCAACAACTTACATCAATCTTTTTTTGTCTTTTTTTTTCCTTTTTCTTTTATACTGGTTTACTTACAAAGTTTGTACACATTGTTTTTCACACTAGAGTCATATTTTTTCACTGTTTGTCTTTTTTTTATTTCTTTTTTTCACTGTTTATCTCTCAGATTCATGGCAAAAGATCATAGTTTGATACATGTACACTTTAGCCTTTGAACTGATACTATGGTTTTTTAGTATTTTAGAGAGGACCCGGATGGCATATTTCCTCAATGCAATATATGTTTTGATTTAATGACTGCTGGTACCAAAAGTGTTGATTGTAAATCCAAGTAAGATGAAATAATTGACAATCTCAAGCTTTCCTCCATCCATCATGATGGTGCCTATCAGCCCAGTGGTGAGGATGGTTGTTTTCTTAATGTTGAGATGCATTAAATGCTGAAGTCATTAAAATGAAGACATAAAAATGAAGGCATTAAATGCCTTTGATCTCTGCAGCAAATGTTTGAAGTCCCTCTCACTTTAGCAAACAAGGTAGTATCATTTGTATAATGCAGATTTTTTTACTGACACTTTTTCAGATCCTTATGCCACATTCTTCTTCATAAAGTCAAATTGCTTATGAACAATAGAAGTAAAACAGTAGATATAGAACGAGAAGTACACTGCACATTGGGAATCACTAAAGGATGAGGACCCAGAGCTGCAAACACTCATTAATAATCGGAGCACGGAAGGTACAAAGTATGACTCTAGAAAAACTGAAAGTTGTCAAAAATGAAATGGAACTCAAAAAGATTGACCTTCTAGTCATGAGTGAGTGATGATAGATTGACTCTAGGTTGGCTGCTTTGAATCAAGAAATCATTTCACCTACTATGCCAGGAATGAACAGTAGAGGAAGAATAGTATTGAAGTCATAGTTTAAAAGTCTATTGCAACATACTAGGATCTTAATAAAGATACTTAAAAAGACTGTTTCAAGAAGTACAGAGCTGAGAGTGATAGGAAACCACCCTTACATGTATGAGGAAGACCTTTTAGTACAAGTATTGTTCAAATATATGCACCAAGAGATATTGATAAAAGAATTTTTCCAGTTTGAGATGTACTTGATGGTAGGGTGTCCACTATACAACAAAGCTGCCACTGGCCCAGGGGTTAGCCAGAACAAGTGCAGGGTCTGATAAAGTTGGGAGTGCCAAGCCAAAAGGCACTTGACTCATCACGGTATTTCTCACATTCTTAGAGGTGTCTGAAACAGTTGGCCTGGTGATGAATGCTGCCTTTCCTAGTCTAGGAGGTGGATTTGGCAGAGAACCAAGTCAAGGATGACACACTGTGCTAAGGCTAGGAGACAAAAGCAGGTGTGCCTACAAATATGGACATGGTGTGTATCCTGTGCTAAATACTCAAAGGTTCACTGTCAGATACAGTTTCTGCAATTTTTTTTTTCCAGAAGAAAAGTTGTAAGGAGGACATCAGTAATGGGACAGTATAATAACTGGAGTAGATGAAGGCCATGAACTTACACATACAAAATGACATGAACCAGGCACTAGATACACAAGAGACCCCATTAAACAGCCGCTGCAAACCCAAAGGTAGTCAATGAGCACATTCACTACCCCAAGAAATGGAGATTGTTTATCTCCAAACATGGTAAGCCATGTAGCTGGGGCATTAAACTCACAGGAACACCACACCAGGGGTAGCTCATGCCAACAGAAAAAGTTATCTAAGATTGGTTATATGTGGAGCTTCAATCAGTCCAGGAGATGGCTGCAGATCAAGTATCTGTCCAGAAATGCCATACTCTAGTAGCACGAGGAGTTGGGTAATGTCTGCCTCCAAATAGGGATAATGTGTCTTGTGCATCAAATCCACAAAGATGTGAACTCTACCTCGGTTGGAGTAGGAGTGGTTCATAGGGAGCATAACCAGTCACCAGGTGAGTAGACATGGTATACAGTTACTTTCCTGATCACTGAGAGTCCGAGGAACAAGGGAACAATTGCACTTTTTTGGTCTTAAACCAATCAAGGGGTGGATACCACTTGAATTATGCATTCCATCATGATCAGAGTACTGAAGAACAGCAATGTCAGCCTGGTAACTAAGGTGAGCCTGTTCCAGGCCAAGGTCTTTGCAATTACTTTCTGTGCATCAGAAAGCTGCACAATGACTAGGGATGATAGAAAGAGAACTGATGCCTTTGAGGTGTGGTGCTACAGAAGAGTATTGAATATATCATGGATTTCCAGGAGAACTAAGAAGTTCATCCTGGAGAGGGTGAAAGCAGACTGCTTTTTGGAGGCAAGGACACTGAATTTTGTCTGTCATATTTTGGACATGTTGCAAGGAGGGACCAATCCTTGGAGAGAGTGCTAAGGAGGGTGAAGGAACACCACGGAAGAGGAATACCCTGCATGAGATGGATTGATACCGTAACTGGGATAACGGGAGTAGGTGTGTTAGAGACAATAATGTTTCTGAGGATAGAGCAGGGTTCACAACTGTTGTACACAAGGTCGTTATGAGTCACAGGCAACTTGACCACACGGAACAGAAACAAGAAGTCCCTATGCCTTATTTCTCTACCTTTTATTATTTCAGAATATCTAGAAAAGCAAGTTAATCCCAATAGAAATGGTTATGATGATGTTGAAGAGTTTTCACTTCCTGATATTCCCCCTAATCTGAGGATGAGTGGGCCAGAGGATAAATATGATATCATGTATTCCCACACAGGTAAGTGGACAGCTCTAACTTAATCATCTAAGTACTTCGTTATAATAACATTTTCTTTGGAACTTTCAGCACCCAATCTTTCTTTACATAGTACATCATAGGGAGCTTCTGATACTCAGAGTTCAGCTCATCCCTATTGTTTAAGCTTGCCACTAATTTCTTTCTTTATTTTTACAAGAGGAACATGGAAAATGACTTGATTCACAAATGTTCACAAGTTCATGCAAAGGTGTAAAGAGTTGTTGTTATTGTTGTTGTTGTTGTTGTTATTGTTGTTGTTGTTGTTGTTGATTGCAATCATGCACGACTCATAGCAACTCTATGAACAAAAGACCTGAGGCCTTTCTATAAGTATCATTTCTCCAAGTTCATAGAGTTTCCAGGTGCATGTGGTTTAGGAAGTCGATGCCACTCCTGCTTCCAAATCTGTCTTAAACTTTGTAGCTCTGCCAAACTCTGTCCACCAAGGACAGCCATTATGTCAATTGAGACCTCAGTGGTACAGGTTCAATTTCATCTCAAACCCATATTATCTCAGCAGAGCAAATTGACAGAAGAGTGCCATAAAACTTAAAAGAAAGTTTCTCCAAAATATAGCAACAAGGGATTAACTTGTAACTTGTCAGGCCCAACTTTTAAATATAAGGCCCTTTAGGAAGTCTTTTTGACTCTTAAAAAAAATGTCTTAAATCAATGAATGAATAAATAAAGAAATAAATAAACACAACCAAACATTCCACAATGACCCTGAACCAAAACAAAAGAGCCCATGTTACACAGTCCGGCCCCTTCACCCATTCTCCATATGGAGACAAGGGCTCGAAACAAGATGCTTCAATAAATAGAATGAAATAATCCACTCAGAACCTCAGCCAAAACAAAAGCACGGTCTGCTCACTTTTTACAAACTCATTTTTAGTTGTTATAGAAATGTTGTGATTAAGAAGTTGTACTACTAATCCAAAGGCAGTTTTGAATCCACTCTTTATATGGAGTCCAGGCACTTCATCCAACTCCAAAATTGAAGACAAGAGCTTGGCATTTTATTTTGTTGTGGTGGTGGTGGTGCTTAAGTGTCATTGAGAACTGACCCTATAAACAATAGACGTTTAACCTTGTTCTATAACTATTGTCCTTCCTCTAAGTTCAATGAGTTTCCACAGACATGTTTAAGAAGTGGATGTCACTTCTGCTTCCAAACCTCTCTTAATCTGTGAGCTCTACCAAACACTGTCAACCAGGTGTAACCATTCTGGCACTTGACAGACCAATGGCACAACGTTCAGTATCACAGTAATAAAAATTTCTTCAATACAGACAAGTGAAAGAACAGTGCTAGACCACCCAGGAGTGTCCATTTCAAAAACAATTAAAACCAGACCCAAGGGCCTGTGTCCCGAGGATCCGAATGGATTTTAAAAGTCACCAGCCTGAATCAGGGCCCCTGCATCAGGCTCGTATTGATTCCCAACAAGAGGCTTCTGGCAAGTAAAATAAAAAACAACCAAAAACCATCCAGAGCGCTCCTCTCCAACACAGAAAGGTGTGAAGAGTAGACATTGAAAAATTTGCTAAGATGTCCTCTTCTAGTATCTGACAGAGTACTTAAGAATACTGTGAGGCCAAATTTGGTTCACTTGTATGATAATTATTGATCAAGAGGTAGGAGTGTCTGCGTCAATTGCACAACAAACTAGAATTGATTGTTTTTGAAAAGATGCACTGTCACCCTCTCAGTCTTTGAACTCATCATCAGGCCAAATCCTAACAAATTGTTAAGGCCAGGACAAAGCTTTGCCTAGAACACCTCAAAGAGCAGGCAGTATCTCTGGTCTTTCAAATAAACCATGTGTCTTCACAGACATTTTCTGGTCTCTCCTTCCACCAGAGGTCTTTGTCCAGTTCTTCAGTCTCCACTACACCCTAAGTTCTCCTTTCGGTTTCAGATGATGCTCTACAGTTTCCCAGAGAAGCTGTCAACCCTGACATGGATGAGGAAAATTCCTCTTTGAGCCTGGGACATAGAGAAGATGTTGGCTATGATGATGTTGAGCTTACTAACACATAATGCCAATTTTTGAGCAACACATTCTGCAAAAATATTTCTGTCAGTCATTTCCTGAAAAATTATAATCCCAAATCTCTTGTATTAATGCAGAGTTTCCTTATGTACTTGTAATAGGGTAAAATTATTCAAAATAGATATTCTGAGCTTTTCAAATGAAGGGTTCCTGTCTTCAGTATCTAGATACATTCACCCCTGTCCACCTTGGAAAATACTGCTTTCCCACAATAAATTATCACCAGAAATATTCATATTATCACTCACCCACTGGTTACCTTTGTATATTTCTTTGGACCAAAGAAGTTTCTGCTTTTGTTTAATAATAGACAACTTTCAAATAAGACCCTAAACTACATCTTTACTCATGTCGTTGTTGTTGTCAAGTGCCATTGAGTCACAGGCAACTCATAGCGACCCTAGGAAGGAGAGTCATCGACACTTGGGTGCCTTTCATCCTCTCTCCAGGTTCATAGGGTTTCCGGAGGCAAGCTATTATGGAAGTGAATGCCACTCCTCCTTCCAAGCATGTTTTAATCTGGAAGCTCCTCCCCTCTCTCTGCCCACATTGGGTAGCCAAACATAAAGGCATTTGACACATCAGGGTCAAAGTGCTCAGCCTCACAGCAACTAGAAGGGACAGCGGTATGGCAACTTGTACACCAGGGCTATACGACCTAGAGCAATGTCTGAACAAAACACTGAAGGACTGGCCTGAGGGCTGCAGGATCGAGGGCCCTTTTGGGATTGAATCCACCTGCTGCCTTAAACCCTAGGCCAAGCCTGGCTTGCCTGGCTCATAGGAAAGCAACATTACATAATAGAGCATTAAATAATCCAAAATAGTCTATGCTTGCTCAAGAAATACAAGTATTATCGAAAGTCAGTGAAGCTGGTTTGATATAAAGGAAATGTTTACAACTTTCTCATTTTAACTGAAGTTTTACAGCATGTCAATAACAAAAATCCACTCCTACCTAACAATGAAAACAATGGTAATTTATTGGTGCAAATAATTGCTTCTTTGTAAGTGAACCACATGGATTCCAAGGCAATATACCTCTTGCACAGTCAACATCCATCTGTCGTCGAATCATGCGTGTTGCTATCATACTAAACAAGTTTCAGCAGAGCATTCCTAGGAAGAAAGGAATTACAATCTATTTCCAAATATTGAAAACCCATAAGAATGGCACATTACACGTGAGATCACCAAGAGTCGGGAGCTGACTATAGTGCAACTAGGAAAAAACCAAACACAACATGCCTGATAATACCTGGTGTATTTTTATGTTTTCCTCTAATTGCTTTTCTATTTCCGGGTTATTTCTCTTACTATTTTCAGAATTGGCAGATCTGGTGCCTAGTGGTGGGGAGCTGCACTGCCAAACCAACACATGCTTTAAATACACCAGTTACTCTGTGGGAGAAAGACGGTCAGTATCCTTCTGTAAGATTTTCTGCTTTTGGAAACTGCTAGAGGGTCAGCCAGTAATCGGTTCCAAAGGTACACAACCAGGACAATGTTATCTGGTTATTTCTCCACTCTAGACTCCGACTGCTCCACTGACAATAACAGCACTAACTGAAATAGCAATAAAAGAACCAGAAGTCACAAAAGGTGATCAAAATATCAAAGTATTTCCTCTGAAAACCTTTCAGAGGAAGATATGACATTGGAAATTCTTCTTAAAGATTCAGAAGAATAGGAGTCAAATGAATTCTTAGCATTAACAAATTGTTTTAGAAAAAAATCAAGGAAACATCAGAAAAATCAAGAGAAACAGAGGTAAAGCTCTAGAAGAATTTTCTAAAGTATAAAACAAAAGAGACCTCTCAAGAGTACTGAAGAGCAAGGACATCAGGCTGGAGACTAAGGTGTGCCTGATCTGGGCTATAGTCTTCTCAATTACTTGCTATCCATCAGAGTTGGACAGTGAATAGGGATGATAGAAAGAGAATTGATGCCTTTGAGATGTGGTGCTGGAGAAGAGTGTTGAATATACCATGGACTGCTAGGAGAGCAAACAGGTTTGTTTTGGAGAAGGTGAAGCCAGAATGCTCCTTGTAGTCAAAGATTCTGAAGCTTTGTCTGACATAATTTGGGCATGTTACAAGGAGGGACTGGTCCTTGGAAAGGGACATCATGTTTGGCAGAATGGAGGGGCGGCGAAGGAGAGGAAGACCTTCAATGAGATGGATCGATTCTGTGACTGGAGGGGTGGAAATGCGTGTGTTTGAGATGGCTAGGTTGGCACAGGATAGAACGACGTTTAGAGGTCTTGTATATAGGGTCTCTATGAGTCCCAATCGACTCGATGGCACATAACAACAGCAACATGATTACCCCCCATTCATCATCACCACTCTGCTCCTACCCTTCCCCCGTTGGATCCTCATACATGTTCTATTAGTTACCTTTCTATTTCTAAAATGATGGTCTTATACAATATTTGTCCTTATGGGACTGAATTTGTTCACACAGCATAGTGCATTCCAGTCCCTCCCATGTTAGGTAGATTTTCAAAATCTTTGTTTCTGCATGTTGCATAGTATGTCATCATGTGAATATACCATAATTCCTAAATCCATTCAATTGTAGTTGAACATTTGGCTGTTTCCATGTTCTTACAATGGTGAACAATACGGCTATGAACATTGGTGTACAAATCTCCATTTTGTACAAATCTCCATTGGTGTACAAATCTTATCTGTTTTCATTTTTTGGTGGGGGTTATATTCCAAGTAGAGGTATAGCTGAGTGATACAGAATTCTATGTTCAGCTTTTTGATGAATGGCTAAACTGAATTCCCGAGTGATTGTACCATTCTACAATCCCTCCAACACTGTATAAGAGTTCCTAACTCACCATATCCTCTCCAACATTTATTGCTTCTTGTCCTGTTAAACTTTGCTACTGCTCAGCTGGTGAGATAG